CCCCTTCTCCTCCCTCCTCCGCCTCTCCTCCTGTCTACGGTCCCACGTTTCCTCCTCCTGACTCCTCCCCCGCTGTTTTCCCCAGTTCTCCGCCTTTGTCCTCTCCTCCTCCGTCTCGTTCTTGGGCTACTCGTCGCTCCCCTCGTGCTCGTCCCTCGTCTCCTGTTCCCTTCACTGACCTTCGTACTGCCTTCCTTCTTTCTAGTCCACCTCGTCCGTCTCAGTCTGTGCTTCCGTCTCCTCCTGAGTCGGCCATCACTGTGTCGCTCCCTACTCCTGTCACTGACTACTACCGCACGTACCGTCCTGTTCTCTCTCGTGTTCTCGCCTCTCTTGTTACTCACCCTCGTGCCTCTGTGTCCTCTGTGTCCGCTCTTACTGCCGCAGTTACTGACTTTGCCTCTACCCGCCGCCTTGACTACGCCACCACGCTTGTGGCTGCTCCTCCTACCAGTCCTCTGGCCGTCGGGGGTGTGTCTGCCCTTGGCTGTGACGCCCTAGAGGACAGGCAGTTTGAGCTAGAGTTCCTGGCGGCCGCTTCCCCTCATCTCTGTGCCATGCTCCTCGCCCCTGAGGGTGACCCCGACGCCCTTGACATTCCGACTCCTCGCACTTACGCTGAGGCAGTGTCAGGGCCTTGGGCCTCTCAAGTGGAGAGCTGCCATGGACGCAGAGATGGCCTCCTACAGATCCACAGGCACCTACGTCGATGAGGTTCCCCCCCCTGGGGCGAACGTAGTCGACGGCATGTGGATCTACAGGGTGAAGCGGCCACCGGGATCTCCCCCGGTCTTCAAGGCGCGCTACGTGGCTAGAGGTTTCAGTCAGCGCGAGGGAGTTGACTTCTTTCAGACCTTCGCACCTACCCCGAAGATGACCACTCTTCGGGTGTTACTACACGTAGCAGCACAGAGAGACTACGAGTTACACTCTCTCGACTTCTCCACTGCTTTCCTTCAGGGCAGCCTACACGAGGAGGTCTGGTTGCGTCGTCCCTCGGCCTTCACTGGCACCTTCCCTCCTGGGACCCAGTGGAGGCTGAGGCGACCTGTTTACGGTCTTCGCCAGGCCCCTCGTGAGTGGCACGACACTCTGCGTTCTACCCTCTCTGACCTTGGGTTCCAGCCGTCTTCTGCCGACCCGTCGCTGTTCGTTCGTCGTGGCTCCACACCGTTCTTTGTTCTGGTTTACGTCAACGACCTCGTTTTCGCCACTCCGGACAGGGTTGCTTTGGCAGACGTGAAGTCCAAACTGCAGAAGAGACACACGTGCACTGATCTTGGTGAGCTGCGCCACTACCTTGGCCTGCAGATCACCAGGGACAGAGCCGCTCGCACCATTACACTCTCACAGTCACACATGGTGCAGCAGGTCCTTCAGCGGTTCGGGCTTCAGCACTCCCCCGTACAGCGCACACCTCTCGCTGTTGACCACAGACTCACTGGTCCCTTTCCTGACGAGCCGTTTGAGCCTAGTGGTCCCTACGCAGAGCTTGTGGGTTGCCTCATGTACCTGATGACTTGTACTCGCCCGGACCTCGCCTTCCCTCTCAGCATCCTTGCGCGCTTTGTTGCGCCAGGGAGACACCGTCCTGTTCACTGGACGGCAGCTGTGAGGGTGGCGAAGTACCTATCGACTACATCAGGCGTGGGGCTAGTTCTTGGAGGGCAGCAGTCTGTCGTACTCACTGGTCACTGTGACTCCTCTTACGCTGACGACGCTGAGACTCACAGGTCTACTCAGGGGTACTGTTTCAGTTTGGGTTCTGGAGCTGTTTCCTGGCGTTCCACGCGCTCCTCTTCTGTCTCGACCTCTACAGCTGAGGCTGAGATTTACGCTGGTGCCATGGCGGCACAGGAGTTGCGTTGGTTGACCTTCTTGCTCGTCGACCTTGGTGAGCGGCCGAGCTCTGCACCGACCTTGTTCACTGACAACAAGGCGTCGATCCTCCTCTGTCGTGAGCCGCGACTGGAGAGCAGAGTGAAGCACATTCACGTCAGGTACTTTCTTCTGCGAGAGTTGCAGAGACGTGGACAGGCTCGCTTCGAGTTTGTGGAGTCCGAGGCCAACACTGCAGACATCTTCACCAAGGCGCTTCCGCCTCGTGACCACCAGAGGTGTTGTGTGCAGTTAGGCCTTGTTGACACAGGTTCTAGTCATGTGTAGGCTTGAGTTTATTGCCTGCTTCGTCTGTACTCTTGCTATATATACTTGTGATCTCTTGGACTGGCCTTGTGGCCACTGTTGCTTGTGCTCAGAGAGTGTGGTGACGTTGTGATCCACCCTGAGCTTTGTTTTCTTTTGGACTGGTCTTGTGACCGTACTCTTTTTTATTTTGCTAGACACCCCTCACTTAGGCTATGGGGGTGTGTCAAATGTTGTAGCCTGTAGTGAGGTTTGTCTTAGGGGGTACAGAAGTTAGGGTTTGTTATATGTACCCCAACCAACATCAATGGCATCATCATTCCTCATTTTGACACGAACATTATATAGCGAAACTATAGTGGTAACGGTAATGGTCGCGCGACGAGCCTGGGACTGAGGTTGGGAAAGTGTCGAAGCGTAGGCCCGGAGCGCGGGTTACCAGCCGAGCCGTGAGGTCGGGATGCGATGTGCGAAAAGGGCGGGATGATGAATGATGCGATGGTCGCGAGTGGTAACGGTGCTGACTGAGGTGCTATAGTGATGTACGCGTTGAGCAGTGACGCGAAGTAAGGAAAAGGGAATTTCCTTACAGTAGATCTGCACTGTGGATGCCCGATTGATCCTGGAGAGGGTTACAAGCGCGTTCGCCTGGGGGGTTATGGGCGCACTGACCCGCTACTGAAACAAGCTCTTTTATCCCAATGGTCTAGTGGTTGGGATTCTGACAAGTGTTACGGGTGCAATGAATTGAGGTAGCGAGGATTGCACTAAGGTGTCAAACGGGTACAAAGTATGAGCAAAGGCATGAGCGAACATTTATACGCGAAACATGCAAACGGTAACGCGGTGCATGCGAGCTAGCTAGTGCTATGCTGGCAGCGAGGCGCGGGCTAGTCCCGGAGCGTAGCCCGACACGGGCGGGCCAGCAGTGCGAGGTTTGGTGAAACAGTGCGCGCGAAGTCGGCGAAGCCCCGTTAGAGCGTGGAAGATCCCTTTGAACAAGGCATTGGTCGCGCAGTTGCGACAGTAACACATGTTGCGACTCTCACCATTAAGCATCGTTAAAAGAGTGACGAAAATTGCTAGAAGCACTCACGTTTCAGAGTCCGTGCCCTCTAGTCGCTCCACGTTTTTGGGTCGAGGAGAAGACAAAGATTGGCGACGTAAGAAGAATCACGCGACATGCAACCAGGTGTTGTCGTGGGTGATGTGGTGCAATCCAATTTGCTCCGAGTGATTGATGAACTCAGAGCTCTTCGCTTGAGTGCGACCAAGGCCCCTTCCGAAACCTTAAAGCCTCTCTGATTTGCAATGTAGGGTTTCGTGCGTTACCCGGCGAAATCTGTCGCAAGCCATTGACGAGGTCAGATGTTCGTATGTCAATCGACCAGAACCAGACCAATATCTTTCCTTCATTGCTACCAGCGTTGCAAACCAATTTACGGTAGCCTAGAGACTATCATTTTTCTGGATCTAGTTTCCTGGTCATAGTATCTGGTCCAATCACTGCTAGTTTATTTGCGGATTTGTTTAGGAATTGACCCATTTCTCTCGTCTTCCCGCTTTGTACGGATCCGTCATGGCTCGTCGATCTATATGGCGGCTCTCTTTTGTTCTATTTGCGATCTTCTTGATTCTCTCGCCAGCAGGTAATTCGCTCCTTTCTTCCTTAGCAAGACTCGTCAATGACGTTGCTTTCTTTCCTATGTTCCTCCCGCTGTGATGAAGAGATGGCATGGACATTGGATCTGATCTTTCGCAATCCATATCGAATCATGGGTTAATGCCATTGTCATTACGCCCGTCCTGCTTGCTCGTTTTCTTCCCGATTCGTTTCCCGACCGTTTAAATCTCTGTCGTCAGTCACCATCCGTGCTTGCTCGCTTTATTCCCGACTCATTTCCTGACCGTTCGAACTCCAACCTAATTAAATCTCTGTCGCCAGTCACCGTCCGTGCTTGCGCGCTTTCTTCCTGACTTGATTCCTAACTGTCTGAATCTCTTACCTTTTCAAAAATCTCTGTCGCCAGTCACCGTTCGTGCTGAGGAGGATGACGAAGATGCGAACGCCGCTGCCGACGCCGTAGCGGCTGACGCCGCTGCATCGGAGATCGTGGCGACGGAGGAAGAGGAGGTGGGGGAGGAGTTGCCGCGTCTTGTCCCGGCCGATGGAGTCGAAGTCAAATCCATTCTTCCAAAATTCTTCAACAAGGGTACGCGTCACGTTTGACCATTTTTCAGGCGCCTCATAAATAGACTCTCGGATTTGATCTCGATCGCGTCGCATGATCTGTCACGTCCTTGCTCGCCGAACGTCCATGGTTTTTGTATTTTGTCTTTTTATTATTATTATTATTTTTTTCCTGCAGAGCCGGTTATCCACGCTGGTCAGGAAGCCGAGCTGCTCTTTTCAATCAGCAACAACGGTACGCCGCCTGCCTTGTGGCATTTGGACGACTGTTTTGACTACTGTTTTAGTCGCAACTTTTCGCCCGCCTTGTTCCCACTGATTTGTCCCTCGTTCGATCCCCGTTGACCCCACGTGATCATGTCAAAGCTTCCGAGTATGTTTCAGTGGAAAATCTGTGAGAGGCATAAGGACGAATTGGTATTTTGTGTGTGTTTGTTTGTGTGTGTGTGTGTGTGTGTGTGTGTGTGTGTGTGTGTGTGTGTGTGTGTGTGTGTGTGTGTGTGCGTGCGTGCGTGCGTGCGTGCGTGCGTGTGTGTGTGTGTGTGTGTGTGTGTGTGTGTGTGTGTGTGTGTGTGTGTGTGTGTGTGCGTGCGTGCGTGCGTGCGTGCGTGCGTGCGTGTGTGCGTGTGTTTGTTTTCTTGTTTTGCTTTTGTGGTTTTGGCTCATGTGTGCGGACCTTTCCCGCCACGCGGATGTTGATGGTGTGTTCATTCTTTCAGGTCCGATCCCGGTGTTCATGGGTAACGTTACTGGTAACATCTACGTGCCGTTCGACTTCCGATACGTGGTGCAAAACTTCTCTTCCGACGTGAGTTGGGGAAGAGGGGGGGTAAGGGGGGAAAGAGGGGGAAGAGGTGGGGGGGAGGGGGGAGAGGGGGGGGGGGGTTGAGGGGGGATTGAGGGGGGGGGGGTGGGGGGGGGGAAGAAGGGGGGGGGTGAGGGGTGTTGGTTGTTGTGTGTTTCCCCTCCTGTATCCCTGTTTTGAGACGTTTCAAATCATAGTATCACGTGACTGCAGAGGTGGTTGAAAACGTATTGACAAGGCAATGGACTGGTTGTTGGCTTTTGACGCGCCTCAATAGGTGCCTCTTAGAGGGTGAGACAAGGCAATGGACTGGCTGTTGTTGTGTGCTTCGCCTCCCTGTGTGCCTGTGTGCGCGTACAGTAGTACAACGTCACCATCCCTCCAGGCGTGCAGGTCTCCTTCGGAGTCCACTCAAAAGGTCGCTCCTTCCGTGTTTTCTCCTCCCGTGTGCCTGTATGCTCCTGCTGTGTTTTCTCCTCCCGTGTGCCTGTATGCTTCTGCTGTGTTTTCTCCTCCCGTGTGCCTGTATGCTCCTGCTGTGTTTTCTCCTCCCGTGTGCCTGTATGCTCCTGCTGTGTTTTCTCCTCCCGTGTGCCTGTATGCTCCTGCTGTGTTTTCTCCTCCCGTGTGCCTGTGTGTGCTTGCTTTGTTTTCGTCTCCCTATGTCCCCCTGCGATCGCTTCAGTCGTACAACATCACCATCCCTCCGGGTGTGCAGACCTCCTTCTCCTTCCACTTCACGCCAGAGAGGTACCTTCAGGTGGGTTCTCTTTACATTCTTCGATTGTTCTTTTCACCACTTAAATCACCCTCTGCCCACCTCGTACCTCGGAAACCACATATTTGTGCCTCTCCCTCCCATCTCCTCCTTTTTCCTCCTCCCATCAACCACCTTTCTCCACCCGCCAACCCGAATCCACTAATTCGTTTTCCCCTGCTCCTCCTCCCCCCTCCCACCCCTCTCCGCCTGCCAAACTCTTTTCTCTATCCCCATTTTGCCGCGCGGTCGCATTTTACATTGTTGCTGACTCCCTTCCACGCCTCTCTCCTCATCAACCGCATTGTCGAGGTGCTGGAGCTGGTGGGGTTCGCCAGCCCCTTCTCGCCCCACCAACCCTCACCACCACTTCTCCCTCTTCCCCCTCCGCCACCCTCCTCCCTCCCCCTCCTCCCGGCCCCCACCTTCCCCCCTTCTCCCCTCCCTCCCCTCTCCCCTTCCCCCACTTCTCGGCGACTTTGGTCTCGCCCTGGCCGCGTTTTACATAGTGGGCGACTCCCTGCACGCGTCGCTGCTCGTCAACCGCACGGTCGAGGTGCTGGAGCCGGTGGGGTACGTGAGCGGCGAGTCCTTGTTCCTCCAACGCTCACCACTTCTCCTCTCCCTCCCCTCCTTGCCCCACTCTTCCCCGCCCCCTCCCCTCTCTCCCCCCATTCCCGCCCGCCCCCCTCCCTCTCCCTCCCCCTTCCCCGGCCCCTTCCCCTCCACCACGACGTGTCTTCCCCCAGCCGCGCGACTTCGGGCTGGCCCTCGCTGCATTTTACATCGTGGGCGACTCTCTCCACGCGTCTCTCCTCATCAACCGCACAGTGGAGGTGCTGGAGCCGGTGGGGTACGTGAGCGGCGAGTCGGTGTTCCTCGTGCTGCTCGCCGCAGGGTTGCTCGCGCTGCTGGGCGTGTGGGCGTACGGGCAGGTCACCAAGATGAACCAGGTGCGGTTAGAAGGGGGAGGGGAGAGAGAGAGGGGAGGGTCGGCTGTGGTGCTGAGATGTATGTGTGATGTGGTGGCATACAGTTTTCATTGCTGGGCGTGTGGGCATATGGGCAGGCTGCCAAGATGAACCACGTTCGGTTGGAAGGGGTGATGTGTGGGATGTTAGGATATGTGAAGCTGGCATGGGGGGATTGGGGAGTGGGTGGGTGGAAGAGCCGGAGTGATGGATGGGTATGTGGTCAGTGTGTGGTCGTACGGGCATGTCGCCACGACGAACCATCGCCGATGTAAAGCTCTCCTGCAATGTGTCACTAATTCTGTTGGCATGGCCTGTTTTCCCAATGAAATGCCGCTCCTGTCTCGCAGAAATCCCGCCGCACTAAGAAGGTTGAGGTGGGCACAGCGGGCGACACTGGTGCCGAGACCAACGAGTGGCTCCAGGTCAGTTGGAAATGAGACCCTGCAATGTCGCATTAACACCAGCAAGGGACTTACTTTAAAGCCGTTGCAAAAGGTGGGCACAGCGGGAGACTCTGGTGCCAAGACTAACGACTGGCTCCAGGTCTGTGGGGAGATTGTATTCATGCAAGTTTGAAATTGGGGTTTAGGGGGGTCGCAACTTGCAACTTCAGGTTGAAATTGGGCTTACATGCTGTTGTCGGTGGTTTGTGAAGTGCTGCCATTTTGTCTCTTGGGATGACCAGGAATGTCTTCTTTGGGATGGGTTTTGCAACCCTTGTTTGCTTGCAGGGTACTTTCTTCGAGCAGCACAACAAGCAGCAAGTCAAGTCTCGAAAGAAGCAGAAGTAGCTGCTATTCCTGCAAAATTGCAGGCTATTGGGTGACCCTTTCTGTTGAATATTGCAGGCCATTTGGTGACCCTTCGAGACTGAGCAGTTCAGGCAATTAATTTGTGGAAATATTATAATTTTTGAAAGTGTAATGAAATGTAACACTTCCTGAAATTTTGAATTGTGAAAAGGGGTACGTGGCCAACACAGCAAAGGTAGCGCCGAAGCGCTACTCACCCTCTTTTGCCTACAAAAGAGGGACGTGGGGACAGTCGTCCCCACCCACGTTTTCATTTTCAAAATTGTGGTTCTCATTTCGTTCTCGTCCACACTGGCGAAGACTCAGTCGCTTCCGCGCTTCACTGCCCCGTCAACGTGTCAAAATGAGGAATGGATGTTGCATTGATGTTGGTTGGGGTACATATAACAAACCCTAACTTCTGTACCCCCTAAGACAAACCTCACTACAGGCTACAACATTTGACACACCCCCATAGCCTAAGTGAGGGGTGTCTAGCAAAAACAAAAAAAAGAGTACGGTCACAAGACCAGTCCAAAAGAAAACAAAGCTCAGGGTGGATCACAACGTCACCACACACTCTGAGCACAAGCAACAGTGGCCACAAGGCCAGTCCAAGAGATCACAAGTATATATAGTAAGTGTACAGACGAAGCAGGCAATAAACTCAAGTCTACGCATGACTAGAACCTGTGTCAACAAGGCCTAACTGCACACAACACCTCTGGTGGTCACAAGGCGGAAGCGCCTTGGTGAAGATGTCTGCAGTGTTGGCCTCGGACTCCACAAACTCGAAGCGAGCCTGTCCACGCCTCTGCAACTCTCGCAGAAGAAAGTACCTGACGTGAATGTGCTTCACTCTGCTCTCCAGTCGCGGCTCACGACAGAGGAGGATCGACGCCTTGTTGTCAGTAAACAAGGTCGGTGCAGAGCTCGGCCGCTCACCAAGGTCGGCGAGCAAGAAGGTCAACCACCGCAACTCCTGTGCCGCCATGGCACCAGCGTAAATCTCAGCCTCAGCTGTAGAGGTCGAGACAGAAGAGGAGCGCGTGGAACGCCAGGAAACAGCTCCAGAACCCAGACTGAAACAGTACCCCTGAGTAGACCTGTGAGTCTCAGCGTCGTCAGCGTAAGAGGAGTCACAGTGACCAGTGAGTACGACAGACTGCTGCCCTCCAAGAACTAGCCCCACGCCTGATGTAGTCGCTAGGTACTTCGCCACCCTCACAGCTGCCGTCCAGTGAACAGGACGGTGTCTCCCTGGCGCAACAAAGCGCGCAAGGATGCTGAGAGGGAAGGCGAGGTCCGGGCGAGTACAAGTCATCAGGTACATGAGGCAACCCACAAGCTCTGCGTAGGGACCACTAGGCTCAAACGGCTCGTCAGGAAAGGGACCAGTGAGTCTGTGGTCAACAGCTAGAGGTGTGCGCTGTACGGTGGAGTGCTGAAGCCCGAACCGCTGAAGGACCTGCTGCACCATGTGTGACTGTGAGAGTGTAATGGTGCGAGCGGCTCTGTCCCTGGTGATCTGCAGGCCAAGGTAGTGGCGCAGCTCACCAAGATCAGTGCACGTGTGTCTCTTCTGCAGTTCGGACTTCACGTCTGCCAAAGCAACCCTGTCCGAAGTGGCGAAAACGAGGTCGTCGACGTAGACCAGAACAAAGAACGGTGTGGAGCCACGACGAACGAACAGCGACGGGTCGGCATAAGACGGCTGGAACCCAAGGTCAGAGAGGGTAGAACGCAGAGTGTCGTGCCACTCACGAGGGGCCTGGCGAAGACCGTAAACAGGTCGCCTCAGCCTCCACTGGGTCCCAGGAGGGAAAGTGCCAGTGAAGGCCGAGGGACGACGCAACCAGACCTCCTCGTGTAGACTGCCCTGAAGGAAAGCAGTGGAGAAGTCAAGAGAGTGTAACTCGTAGTCTCTCTGTGCTGCTACGTGTAGTAACACCCGAAGAGTGGTCATCTTCGGGGTAGGTGCGAAGGTCTGAAAGAAGTCAACTCCCTCGCGCTGACTGAAACCTCTAGCCACGTAGCGCGCCTTGAAGACCGGGGGAGATCCCGGTGGCCGCTTCACCCTGTAGATCCACATGCCGTCGACTACGTTCGCCCCAGGGGGGGGAACCTCATCGACGTAGGTGCCTGTGGATCTGTAGGGGGCCATCTCTGCGTCCATGGCAGCTCTCCACTGAGAGGCCCAAGGCCCTGACACTGCCTCAGCGTAAGTGCGAGGAGTCGGAATGTCAAGGGCGTCGGGGTCACCCTCAGGGGCGAGGAGCATGGCACAGAGATGAGGGGAAGCGGCCGCCAGGAACTCTAGCTCAAACTGCCTGTCCTCTAGGGCGTCACAGCCAAGGGCAGACACACCCCCGACGACCAGAGGACTGGTAGGAGGAGCAGTCACAAGCGTGGTGGCGTAGTCAAGGCGGCGGGTAGAGGCAAAGTCAGTAACCGCGGCAGTAAGAGCGGACACAGAGGACACAGAGACACGAGGGTGAGTAACAAGAGAGGCGAGAACACGAGAGAGAACAGGACGGTACATGCGGTAGTAGTCAGTGACAGGAGTAGGGAGCGACACAGTGAGGGCCGACTCAAGAGGAGACGGAAGCACAGACTGAGACGGACGAGGTGGACTAGAAAGAAGGAAGGCAGTACGAAGGTCAGTGAAGGGAACAGGAGACGAGGGACGAGCACGAGGGGAGCGACGAGTAGCCCAAGAACGAGACGGAGGAGAAGAGGACAAGGGCGGAGAACTGGGGAAAACAGCGGGGGAGGAGTCAGGAGGAGGAAACGTGGGACCGTAGACAGGAGGAGAGGCGGAGGAGGGAGGAGAAGGGGAGGGGAGACCAAGGGTCCGAAGACCCGAGACAGGAGGAGGAAGTGGCTGCTGCTGCTGCGGCTGCGACTGCTGCTGCTGCGGACGCGGCTGCTGCTGGGACTGCTGCTCCTGCGGGTCCAGCTGCTGCTGCTGCTGCTGCTGCTCCTGCGGCTCCAGCTGCTGCTGCTGCTCCTCCAGCCGCTGTAACTCCCTCTCCTCTCTCTCCAACGCCAGCTGCTTGTCACGGGCACGGCGAACACGAGCCTGGTGCCTAGTCGGGTAGGGGTGGGGGGGTGGAGTAGTGTCCGAAGCAGCGGCAGCTCCAGAGTCCACCTCAGAAGAACTAGGCGCACCACCCCCAGAGGCAGCACTAACACCAGCTCCAGAACTAGGCTCACCTGAACCCGAAGGAGGCGCACCCTCACCCCCAGACGCAGCACCCCCAGTGTCCGCGCGGCCAGCACCAGCTCCCGGACGACAAGAGTCCTCTGCACCCACCGGGTCAGCTCCAACTCCAAAACCAGAAACTCCAGCTCCAACCCCAGCTCCAACTCCAGCACCCCCAGAACCAGAAACTCCAGTGCCAACTCCAGCTCCAACTCCAGCTCCAACTCCAGCACCCCCAGAACCAGAAACCGGTACAGGAACAGGCGCCGCACCAACCTCTCGAGAGCTAGCACCAGCGGCACGCTGCGAGGAGGACTGTGGGGAGGGAGGCTGTACTGGAGGGGCTACCGAAGGAGGAGGGGTAGCCTGGGACACACCTGACGGGGCTGGACCAGGGGGGGGAGGCTGTACCGGGGGAGCAGGAGGGGGAACGGCAGTCAGGAAGAGGGGGGGAGGAGGAACCGGGAGACCTCGATTGGGGTACCTGACGTAGTACGGAGTGGACTCCTCGAAACGGACGTCACGGGAGTCAAAGAACCGGTGAGAGGGAGGGTGGTAAAAGGTGAAGTCAGAGGAGTCCTCAGGGAAACCAAGGAAGACACAGGGGACGGCACGAGGCGAGAGCTTGTCCGCGGAGGTGTCGCGGACAAGAGCCAAGCACCCCCAGACACGAAACCGCGACGCAACACCAGGGGACCCTGTCCAAAGACTGGTCGGTGAAACCTCTGGTCGAGAGACACGTGGCCAGAGGTTCAGCTGGTGCGCGGCGTACCTGACCGCGTAGGGCCACAGAAAATGGGGGGCACAGGCGTGAGTCAGGGAGGTGCGGGCGATCTCCATGACCAGGCCTATGCGGCGCTCAGCAACCCCATTCTGCTGTGGGGACTCTGGAAGCGTCCAGGACTGACGAATGCCCTGCTCGCGACAGAATCCAGCGAGAATGCCGGAGCGAAACTCACCCCCACGGTCGGAGTGGAGACAGCTGACACGACGACCACGAGTGTCCTCAGTGGTGAGCAACCACCTGATCAGCGTAGAAGTCACCTCAGACTTCTTCGCCAGAGGGAACACTGTGGTGTAGCGGGAGAAGTCGTCAACGACCACCAGAAAGTAACGCTCACGCTCAGGGCCTAGACGAGGGGCGGGGCCCCAGACGTCCAAGTGAAGCGTCTCAAAAGGCTCGGTGGCCGGACGAAGGGAGGAGGAGTGAGGGGTGGCGCGCAGCCTACCCTCGACGCAGGGACGACACGGCGGCGCAGGCGAAGGCGGCAGCGAC